AAGGCATGTGATAGTGAAAATGACATTTATTTTCTAGGGGATTTAAATATTGATTTTATGTCTGAAAGTTGTGCCTTAAAAGGTCAATTATCTTCATTTGCCAATACTTGTAATCTATCACAACTGGTCAGTAAATCCACTAGAGTCAATGTAAAAGTGGATGGGACGCACTCAGCAAGTCCAATTGATTTAATTTTTACAAATGTGCCAGATTTATGCACTGAGGCTATTTCTGTTCCAGTTGGTTGTAGTGACCACAATTTAGTTGCAGTTATAAGAAGAACAAAAGTCCCCAAACCTGCTCAAAAATGTATTTGCAAAAGAACATTTAAAAAACTTTAGAGAGGATGATTTTGTTACAGATGTAAGAAGAATAGATTGGTCAGATGTAACACAAGTTCATGATCCATGCAGAGCAGTGGAGATTTTTAACACTTTGATGACCAGGGTCATGGATAAACATGCTCCTATGAGGAAGCTGTGAGAAATGTTTCTGCTCCATGGCCACATCATGAACTCAAGGAAAACATGAAACAAAGAGACAAAGCCAAAATGGAAGCACATGATACTAATAATGTGGAACTGTGGAAAAATCATCGCAAATTAAGGAATTAAATGACCAAATTGAACAAAAGTAAAAAACTTTTATATTATCAAACGAAGATTAGAGATGCAAAAGGTGATCATTTAAAAGTTTGGGGAACGCTAAATGAAATTCTGGGAGGAAACAAAAAATCAACAAACCACATTTGTAGAATCAAATGGGATTTATTTAACTAAACCAAGAGAGATTGCAAATGATTTGAAACATTTAAAAAAAAAAAAAAAAAAAATTCAGAACTTGAGAAATGCCATGGAGCTTGGACACCAAAGGAATATTTCCTATGAATGAATAAGAAAACGTATTATGAAAACCAAAGAATGTAAATTCAAATTTAATACTGTAACACAGGGGTCTCAGACTCGCGGCCCGGGGGCCAACTGCGGCCCGCGGAAGGATTTTTTGCGGCCCTCCACTTGATTCCAAAGAATAATGTCAGTGCGGCCCGCCGTAGATGTACGCACAATCCCATCCCCCTACCGCGGGCCGCACTGACAGATGAAGCTGGAATCGGTGCCCATGCAGATTCACAACAACAGATTAATAACGCAGTTTACATTCCAAAACTCAACTTACAGCAGTTGTGAAACAATGAGTCTAAGTGGATCTGTTAATACGAGTACACGTGCACATACGGCGTCACCGAAGAACCAACAAACCACACATGGTGGTACACGTGTGCACTTCACTTTACGCTCCCACAACCACAGTATCAGAGCGCAGAGGAGGCGCTGACAGAATCCCCCTGTTCATAAGTATGGGACCATTATTGGAGGGGCTAATAAGAAATAAAAAGACATTGACAGTCTGTTTACCTGTTCAACACTCGGTGCGTAACTTGCTGGCAACCCGATGACCAAGCTCTACATATGTGTGGCCGAAATCCACGCGCACTCAGCGGCAAACACAGCTGTCCCATCAATACGCAAGCACCACAAAACTGCTGTGATCTATTCCAGAGGCTTGGCGACACGTTAGCAAAAAGTACGAAGCAAAAACAAGCGTCTTCCATCCATGTTTGACATACGAGAAGCAGATACACTCCAGTGTGGCGCTTTCACACCGGCAAACGAACCAAAAACTGGTCCTGTTAACGAGCCTCTGTATCCCGGTAGAACAGTGATATCTCCGGTAACCAATACTGATGTTCCCTGTTAATACCGCGAGCCGTCCTCATCTTATCACCATGAACTCATAAAACAGCAACATAGAACTTTGTACAAACTCACCGCATCAGCCCAGAGTTCGGGAAACAGCAGCAGCCAACAGTGTTCACCGTAGCGCGCGGCTCCTCACGATAGCGCTGGACTCTGGTCCTTGGTCTTCTGTCGTCCTACGAGCGCGTTGGTCAGATGGTCCGGAGGCTCCATCCTCCATGTGCTGGTTCCAGACGGTGGCGAGCAAGACCAGTGCGCAATGACTGGGTCTGAGCGGGTACGTTCCGCCGTCTGCGCGCTGGTTCCGTGTTCCATGCGGGGAAAGTGAGAATGTTCTGTGGACTATACCTAGAGGTCTGTGCTGCTCCTGTCCTCCGCGCTCAAGAACCGCGGCTGGTTCCGTGGTGGTGCAAAGCATCCGGACAGAAGCGTGAATCCAGTTTAGTTGGTGTCCGCATTTGGTTCTTCTCGGGAAAAGCGCTTTTCACTCCCCGCTCCACGTCATCTGAGCCCGGACAGAACCGGAGCTGCTGGTTCGGGACTCCGGTTTGGATCTAGTCCGACTGTATTTCTCACACTAGACTAACAGCAGGACATTTTTTAAAGGTGAATCAATTGAATGGGCGATTGCGTATTGCCATAAAATTATTTGGTTAATTAGCCTAAAATAACAAATGCATCATGATCACGGGGAACACCGGGACCTCTGTGTAGGTCTTGAACAGAAGTACACACCCCCATTTTTGACTCACTCTGGAGCCACACGTTCGCACGTTCTTGCTCTGATCTTCGTGTGTTACATTTTCTTTATTGGCCATTGTTGGTAAAATATTTCGAAAATGAATCGCGGCTGCGTCTGGACAACAATCTGTTACTGCGCTGGAGTCGTACAGCGTCATTACAGGCAAAGGAGACGCGTTTCTCCCATGATGCATCTAGAATAGTTCGTTTGGACCTGCTGTCTATGGTTTGGACCCGGGTTCACGTTCACACCAGAAGAACCGCACCAAAGTTGGTCATTTGGGTGCGGATTCAAGTGAACCGAGACCACCTCTTTTTTGAGGTTGGTTTGATTTGGTTCGGGTCCGAGTCCGATTGACGCTTTCACACCAACGCAAACGAACCGAACTAACCACTTCTGGTTCGAATGGACCGTTTGGTGCAACAAATACTGTCGGTGTGAAAGCACCTAATACAGGTCAAGGGTCACTGATGAGCATCTTCAATCTATCCTGAGGATCTGCTTCCTCCTGCAAGTCAAATATCTCTCAGTTGTACAAGATGAAGCGTAGCCAGGTTTCAACCAGCAAGGAGAAGGTAAAAGAAGAAGAGTAGACGTATTAGTTTAAACTTACGTTCTGAATACTTTCTCATGTTCTGAACTGTTATTAAAGATTAAGAAATTGTTGCATGTTGTTCTTTCTCTCTCTTTTTTCCCCGTGCAACCGCTATTTATCGAATACTCAATGCGGCCCAGCCTCACTCAGACTTTATCTAATGTGGCCCCCAGGTAATTTGAGTTTGAGACCCCTGCTGTAACACAAAATAGTGTGAAAGAATTTTTACAGACAAGTAAAGATAAACCAGCTGGAATTGATCATATTGAAGCTAAATGAATAAAGCTGGTGGTCGACATAATTTCTTTACCGGTTTCTCACATAATTAATTTAAGTTTAACTAAAGATATTTTTCCTACACAATGGAAGACAGCAAAAGCAATTCCTTTGATAAAAAATGATAAAGAACCATTATCAGGTAAAAACAGTAGACCAATTAGTTTATTGCCCTTATTGAGTAAAATCATGGAAAAAGTGGCATATGATCAAATTCAAAACTATTTTTCAGTGAACGGGTTAAATACATCCATCAACATGCATATAAAATGGGTCACTCCACAACAACAGCGCTCACTCAGATTACAGATCACTGGCTACAGGAAACTGATAAGAAAAATCTTACAGGCACTGGATTCTTAGACCTGAGTGCAGCATTTGATGTTTTAGATCACAATATTTTATGAAATAAATTGAGCTGCTATGGATTTGAGTCACCAGCTTTAAGATGGACTGAAAGTTATCTAAGTAATCGGGAGTTTAAAGTTGATTTTAACGGTAGCTATTCTGAGGTTGAGGGGATGGGTTGTGGAGTGCCCCAGGGCAGCTGTCTTGGACCCCTGTTGTTTTCTATATTTACTCATGATTTTTCACTTCTACTAAAACATACAAACATGGCTCTATATGCACATGACACCACTTTATATACAGCTGCACCTACAGCAGGCCGACTTAGTAGCATCTTAAATGAGGAGTTGACAGTGGTAGTACAGTGGATTCAAGACAATAAATGAGTAATCAATGCTGAAAAAACTAAATGTATGTTAATTGGATCACAATACATGCTCAAAACAAGACCTAAATTACATTTAAATTTGGGAGCAATTTTAATTGAACAAGTTGAAGAAATCAAATGATTGGGTGTAATAGTGGACTCTAAATGAACATGGACCAGTCATATAGATCACAGACTGAAGAAAATGGGTCGTAGTCTGGGCATGATCAGACACTGTAGAAAATGTCTCCCACAGTGGTCGCTCAAAAATCTACTACAGTCATTAGTTCTTTCTCAGATGGATTATGCATCTGTCATTTGGTCAAACACATGTGCACTGTAAACCCACATTTTCTTTTACATATTAAGCCATGCTAATATTACTAATCTTTTTTATATTTTGCAAAAGGCGAGACCATTACTAAACAAAGTGTGAATTGTAAACTATTTTAAACTAGTATTTGCTGTACTCATGGCTCTGAGTGGAGACTCACACTTGTATGTTTTTACCGGTGAAGGGAGGTGCTTAGCACCTGAACTCTCCCAAACTGCACCAAACCACATCTGACTTCTGCTCGGACTGTTGGCTGCAGTTCAGCGTCAGTTTGCTTTATCATCACATGGTAAGTGAATAAATATGGTTTCTGTTCCCGTGAGACTGAATAGTTGGTGACATTGGTTGACGCTTGCAGCCAAATAAGACTAAAGTGAAGTGAACTTGTGGTCACGATGCGCTCGTTATCATCTGTTAGCCGCTAACAGAGAACAGCTAATGCTAACAGTAAACGCTGTGGGAGGCGGTAGAGATGAACGGAGGGCGGATCACGCAACGAAAAATACTGTTTTAATCCAACTCAGGCGGGTGGCGGTTTAACGACGCATGGACCCATAGAACTCCTCACGTCCACCGTGTGCACCGCGCCTCAGAACTAAACCAGGTCTAAAACCAGGACTAAAACAGAAGCGCTCCTCCTCCTGTAGGCCGCACGAATCGAATTTTAGAATGAATGTATAGAATTGGTGTTTTGTTTTTTTTTTAATCGAGACTCGTTTTCGTTGTTTGCTATATGATTGTTCTAAAATCTAAAATCGTGGGTGCAAATGGAGAGTTTGGAGTTCAAGTTTTTAGATCATCACCACAAAATTGCATAAAAGCTTTGGTTGGAATTAAACACTAAAACATATTTTGTGTTTTACAGGTGATACCCAACAGGCTGTGGAGCTGTAAATACTGTGAGGTTACTTGCTCAGACACTACAGAACACTTAATTTCTTTTTTTTTTTTTTTGTAGATTTGTCTGGAATTCAAAAGGATTGTGGGAAAAGACCTGCACCAGGAATTTTATTCTGCCCTTGAAAACCACACTACCCATTTTATTGAAAGTTTTAAAGCTGAGAGGGGCAACGTGGGTGACAGTTGGCACAGCTTTTGCAGTAAATGCAGGTAAAACTTTTGTAACCCGGATAAAAATACATGTGTAGTAAAAGCATAAGTTCATAACAAAGTTAATCTAAAATGGATAAAAAGATAATTCATTTTTATTAAAATACATAGTTCATGTTAATGGTTAAATGTATATTTACAGAAGTGTTTGCGTCTCTGCATATTTCTTTTAATTTATCATACAGTATCATTTTCTGTCTTACAGTCACTGGATTCTACTGAAAAAAGGACAGTCACACTCAGAGGGCTTCCTTATGTAACCCAGGTTAACAGCAACTCTTAGAGAGAAAACATAATAGATAATAATAATAATAATAAGATAATAAGAATAATAAATATATTGGATAAAATTTGATAAACAAGTCAATAAATGTTAAATATGGTTAACAATATCTGCAATAATTAATTTGATTTAAAAATACATTAAAAAGCTAAAAAGTACACAAATTCATTGCTTAAATATGTTGGAAGTTGTTTTTAGACTCTTATTTTGAAAAGCACGTAGCTGCGTGACCCATGTGACTAGCAACAGCCAACCGGATGGTTCTAGGCTTTTCCCTGTCCAGCGAGGGAGATACGCAACACACGCAAGCTGCGGCAGAAAGGAGAAAAGCAGAGAGAAAAAACGAGTCTAAAGTCAATTTTAAACGCCAGCAAAAAGGGGATTAAAGATATATTTTTGTTTTTTCCAACTTGTCCCTGTGTGGAGACATTGTACAGGTTGATAAACGGGACTTGGTGAGTTGAAACAAATTTATTTTATTTTTATATTAAGAAATATCTGTGCAATGTAAAATTACCATTTGGATGGAAAAGAAAAGCTTTTAGCGATTTTATGTTTTATGGTAAAATAGTGAAGCACACAGTGTTTATAAGCTAAATTGAACGAGCTCACAAGTTCATTGCCCGGACTTGTTCTCCCGTCCGCTCTTCATGGCGACGGCGGCACCTTAACAAGTACCAATTGAGAGAGAGAAATGGTGGTTTTATGTGTTTTAAAGCTACCTAATGTTTATTTTTGTGTATTTCTACTTATTTCATGTTGTTATTGATAGGCCATATTGAATGGGTAGAAGAAATTCAGCTAAAAACCGAACTTTGGAAAGCACGTGGTTGGAACAAGATGGCGATGGCGAGCTGCCCACGGACCTTCTGAAAGATACGCAGGAGAAATACTTCTCTTGCTGAACGCTGCATGGTTTGCATCTGAACTGGTAGGATTTACCCAACTTTCTGCAAAGCTACTGCAACGGACTCAGGAACATTGAACTGCTAATTAAAAGAGCAACGAGTAGAAAAAAAAAGGACTTTTATTCTGCAATATCCAGAATTGTTCAGCCTTTTGCTGAATCAATTTGAGTTGTAATTTTGTATTTTATTTTCAGACCATAAACTAATATTGTAAAAGGGTATTTTACAATGTAAATGTTTTTGGTTGGGAACAACAGAACAAAGTTCTCTTTAAACTGTAAAATAACTTGAAATAACTTGAACTAAAATAATTGAAACTAAATGTGAACTGAACTAAAGAGTTAACTCGAAACCGTGATAGAACTGATTTGAATTAAACTAAAAGGTTGCAAGGTCTGTGGTGCTTGTTGCCAGCTGACGGGTACCGGCGGGCCAAGCGTGCTGCAGCCCGGGTGGTTCCGGAGGCAAAAACTCAGAGCTGGGAGGAGTTCGGGGAGGCCATGGAGAAGGACTATCGGATGCCTCAAAGAGATTCTGACAAACCGCCCGGCGCCTCGGAAGAGGAAGTAGTTCTTCACCAACACTGTTTACAGTGCGGGGGGAGAGCTGCTGACCTCGACTGGGGACTTTGTCCGATGGTGGAAGGAAAACTCTGAGGATCTCCTCAATCGCACCGTCACGTCTTCCGAGGAGGAATCGAGACTGGAGACTCAGAGGTGGACTCATCCATAACCCTGAAGTCACTGAGGTGGTTAAAGTTCCTCTGTGGCTCTGGGTTGGATGAGATCCTTCCTGAGTACCTTAAGTCTCTGGATGTTGTGGGTCTTGGCTGACATGTCTCTTCAACATCGCGTGGCGGTCGGGGACAGTGCCTCTGGACTGGCAAACCGGGGTGGTGGTCCCTCTGTATAAGAAGGGGGACCGGAGGGTGTGTTCCAACTATAGGGGGATCACACTTCTCAGCCTTCCCGGTCTCTGTCAGGGACTGGAGAGGAGAATCCGGCCGATAGTTGAACCTCGGGTCCAGGAGGAGCAGTGTGGTTTTCGTCCTGGCCGTGGAACACTGGACCAGCTCTACACTCTCCATCGGGCGCTCCAGGTTCATGGGAGTTTGGACAGTCCACACGGAGACAGAGGAGGACGTCCTCTCCTGTCCACAGCTGTTCTTACCTTTCACACTCAGCTGGACCCAGGTCTTTCCTCCAGAGAACAAAAACCTGAGAACAAAACCTGATAAGCGAAATCTGGTATAACTAAAATATATCCGGAAAAAGGAAATAAGGGTTTTGGAACTTAACTACTTAAACAAAGAAGGTTAAGATAATTGGAGTTTATGTTAACGTTGTCTATGTCCATGTCATGCTATTTTCATATTTTGTGTCCAAATCTCAATAATAAGCCGGCAAATCATTTAAACTTATTCTCTTGTCTGTGGTCTTTTCATTGTCAAGTCAACTTTTGCTCCAGTAGACGAACCTAACCAATTGATACTGGTCCATTACATAGTAGTTCCTACCTCTACTTGTTATTACCCTGTAATTACCACTCGTTGGGCGTTACACTTACTCACTCGGAGACAGTCCCACTGAATTCTTCAAATCTAGAAGCTTTGTAAATGTACATTTTGTTTGTAATGTGAAACTTTTAGAATGTGACATTTATTGTATAATTTGAATATGTCTGTACATTACGAGCTTCAGCCGTTCCATGAATATTATTTATCTTAAAGTCAGATTATTGATTTTCAAATATTTGTTTGAACATTTGAAAATGCTTGACCAAATAGTCATGTCAGCATAAATTTAATTTCATACAATTTATGTTTTGTCATTCTTATTGAGTCTGTTGTAGTTCAGTAATTTGATTCACTAATGGTTTTGTTTCTGGCATTAATTTTGTTGTTTTTCTTTAGGATGGTGATGAATCCTTTGGCCAAATGGACATTGGGATCTTGTTAGTAAATCTGAAGGTGTCTCTCCTCCAACACCAGATCTTCAGCTGCCTGAAAATCATCATTGAGGGTGAAATTGTTATGGACAAGCTGACGACCCTTATAAGCCCTTGTTTGAATTGTGAAATGTAAAACACAAAAGCAAATGCTGTTACAGGGAACAAACAGAAGACTGCACTTTATTCAGGTTTAAGCATGTTACTGTTGCACTATTTTTGCAATAAATTTATGAGAAAAAAAATTGTCATTTTATGTCAATTATTTAAAAAATATATTGTGATTTATAATTTGCATCTAATTATTATAACTAATAAACATAATCAATAAATACTCAATATTCAACTAATCAATAAATATGAGAAATACATACTGATAAAAAATAAGTAATGATTACTGTAATACACAAGTAATGGTTAGTTAATTACTTGTAAACATTAGTTTTAGAAACTTAAGTTCTTTAGTAATGGATTATCTTGGACAGAAGATTTTATGTAAACAGAGCTTGATTTGTTTAGTTTTTGATATTGTAAAAACTAGACGTCCCAGTGCGTCACATACCACGCGCGGTTTTAGTCATGATTACTACTTTGGGTTTACAGTGTGGAAGTGTAAAGAGACTTCTGTTACAACAGCACAGAAAGTGAAAGTAGAAGAGCAGTGGGGGATGGACCCAGACTGTGGAATATAAAACAGGAAATGGCAGCTCAGATTCAACTAATAAACCAGGGTGAACAAACGTCCGTTTTTCCCTGGACATGTCCATGTTTTGTGTCCTGTCCTGGGCATCCGGGTTTTTTTTTTTATAAAGTGATGCAAATGTCCAGGTTTTCAGTACCGTTCATTAAACTGAGCGTCTCTCGTAGCGTCTGTGACTCAGAAGGAGCGAGACACAAACAGTCGGTCAGTCTGAAACACACTGAAGCACAAAAGAACATTTAACAACGACTTGGACAAGAAATTCTCCTTTTTCCGTCCCGGTCGGGACAAGTGTGAGTCCATGTGCACAGGTTGAGGTGAGAGTTCAGTGTCCCTCGTTTATCGTGGGAGTTATGTTCTAAAAATAACCTGCGATAGTTGAAATCCACGAAGTATCAACTTTATATTTTACAATTATTCTATCTGTTTTAAGTCTGTAAAACCTCAGCACAAACTTTATACACTTTTCTCCGACAGGATCGACAGGTGCAACACTTTTTACTTCCTTCTTAAAACTTGTTGCTGCTGTCGTCCTTTTGTTATTTTCCTCCTTCTTTATGTAACAAACTGAAGATTCATTTATTCTGTAATGAAGCCAACAGAGCAGAGTCCAGTACAGGACCGCACCTGCCAGGACAGGACCACAGCACCCACCTGTTAAACAGAGATATGAAAATTTTGCACTGCCCACACCACAGACTGAACCAAGACTAAACCAGGACTGATTCCAGGACTGAGACAGGACTGAGACAGGACTGAAACAGGACTGAAACAGGACTAAACCAGGACTGAAACAGGACTCAGTGTGGGGTCGGGTCGGAGGTGACGCAGGAGAAAGGAGCGGCTCAGCTCTGCACCTCACGGAGGTAAACGCGGCAATTGCCCGATCGCGATTTGTGGACAAACTGCTCGGGGTTTTCTCTCTTAAGTCCAAGATTAGTCCTGGTTTAGTCCTGGTTTAGACCTGGTTTAGACCTGGTTTAGTCCTGGTTTAGACCTGGTTTAGTCCTGGTTTAGACCTGGTTTAGTCCTGGTTTAGACCTGGTTTAATCCTGGTTTAGACCTGGTTTAGTCCAGGTTTAGTCCTGGTTTAGACCTGGTTTAGACCTGGTTTAGACCTGGTTTAGTCCTGGTTTAGACCTGGTTTAGTCCTGGTTTAGACCTGGTTTAGACCTGGTTTAGTCCTGGTTTAGACCTGGTTTAGTTCTGGTTTAGACCTGGTTTAGTTCTGGTTTAGTCCTGGTTTAGACCTGGTTTAGTTCTGGTTTAGTCCTGGTTTAGACCTGGTTTAGTTCTGGTTTAGACCTGGTTTAGTTCTGGTTTAGTTCTAGTTTAGTCCTGGTTTAGTCCTGGTTTAGTCCTGACTCACCCGTGTGTAATTACTACCCTCCTGTTATACACATTATGGGTTTTCACATATGGAAATATGGTCACCCTATAATAAGCTTAATACAAGATGAAGACAAAAGAACAAATCAAATCAACCTTCATGACTCCAGCAGGTATGAAGTGTGTGTGTGTGTGTGTGTGTGTGTGTGTTTAGTTGTGTGTGTGTGTGTGTAGTGTGTGTGTGTGTGTGTGTGTGTGTGAGTTGTGTGTGTGTGTGTGTGTGTGTGTGTGTGTGTTGTGTAGTTGTGTGTGTGTGTGTGTGTGTGTGTGTGTGTAGTGTGTGTGTGTGTGTGTGTGTGTGTGTGTATGTGTGTGTGTGTATGTGTGTGTGTGTGTGTATGTGTGTGTGTTTAGGTGTGTGCGTGTGTTTAGTTGTGTGTGTATCTCTGTGTGTGTGTGTGTGTGTATGTGTGTGTGTGTGTTATCTCTGTGTGTGTGTGTGTGTGTGTGTGTGTGTGTGTGTGTGTGTGTGTGTGTGTGTGTATGTGTGTGTGTGTGTGTGTATGTGTGTGTGTGTGTGTGTGTGTGTGTATGTGTGTGTGTGTGTGTGTGTGTGTGTGATGTGTGTTATGTGTGTGTGTGTGTGTGTGTGTAGTGTGTGTGTGTGTGTGTGTGTGTGTAGTTGTGTGTGTATGTGTGTGTGTGTGTAGTGTGTGTGTGTGTGTGTGTGTGTATGTGTGTGTGTGTGTGTGTGTGTGTGTGTGTGTGTGTGTTTAGGTAGGACTCCTGCTTCAGCCTGAAGGTCCCTTATTTCTGTCGATCGTAACATCCCACTGCCACAAAATCTACGAGGTAAAAATAGGATTTGACAAAAACCAACATTAGAACAGATGAAGGAGAGAAACAGAAGGAGGACAGACACATTCCCGACGCTCTGAAGCAACACCAACACCAACACCCAAAACCAACAATAAACACAAGAAAAACAACAGGTCAGAGAGACAGAAAAACTAAAATAAAAGTGAAAAAAAGAGCACAGTCATGGGCAGTGTCGTGCACAGACATTTTGGGGGGCAGGTGCTCAGTGAAAAATAATGAGACTTTGTGCACATGTGGAACTGCTGCTGCCTCTGACGGACAAATAACTTCTGTCTATTAGACGAGGCAAGTTTATTTGTACAGCACAATTCGTACACAAAGTAATTCAAAGTGCTTTACAGAAGAAGAAATACATTCAAATCACAATAAAAACAAATCAAAACATAAATAATCATAAAGATTAAAATGAAAAAACAGAGACATAAATTGGAGAGAAGAGTGTGGAATGAACCTTTCAGTCATGTGCTCAGTGGAACAGAACCGTTTAGATCAGGAGAGTCAAACTCATTTTGTTCCGGGGGTCGTGTCCAACCGACTTTGATCCCAAAGTGTCCGGATCAGAAAACTCATGTCATATAAACCCCAAAAATAACAATAAAATCAAATATTTGTGCAGAGAAACACAAATCTATTACACAAATCTTTTTGAATTGATGAACTCTTTCTTTAACAAAATATTATAATATTATGAACAACTTGAAACTTTAAGAAAAATACAATTTCAACACAAAGTTTGAACATGAACTTGTCTGTAAACAGGAATAAGTCCATTTTTGTTGTAAAATCCTGCACTCGGCTCCACTTTTCTCATGTTGGACATTTTTCTGATGAGGGTGTCACGGTCAACAGTCAAAACGATCGTCCTTTAAGAGCGTTTGGAAAGAGACAAGTCTTCATTTGTGCTGCTCTGGTGGGAGGGGCCACGTACAGAGACGCTGGAGACGCTGCTGTGATAAACACCACAGAAAATTAACAACATTTTAATAGAAAATATAATTCAAATATTTTAGTAGAAAATCAGCCGAGGGCCAGATTAAAGGTCTTGGAGGGCCGGATCTGGCCCCCGGGCCGTATGTTTGACACCTGTGGTTTTGAGTCTGGATTTAAACAGCGTCACAGAAGAGTCTGTCTCACATGTTCAGACTGTTCCAGGTTTTAGCTGCATGAACCTGAAACTCTGACTCCCCTTGTTTAGTCGTGACTCTGGGCACCAGCAGGAGTTGGTCCCTGAGCTCCTCAGAGTGTGAGATGTTCATATGACACTAACATGTCACACATGGACAGTGTTGTGAAGGTGACTTTGAAAATGTAATCCCCTACAGATTACAGATTACATCCACCAGAATGTAGTTTGTAACATAATCCATTAAATTACTTAAAGTGAGTAATGTAATCTGATTACTTTGGATTACTTGATTTGCTGTAAAGAAACAAAGACGAGGAAATGTTCACATAAGAAGTTTTGTCTGATAAAAGAAAATAAAAAGACCAGATTTTACTGAACCAAATTAAAAATATTATTGATAGAAGAAGAAGAAGAAACACGTCCACACAGCAGGATTTAGTCCTGGTTTAGACCTGGTTTAGTCCTGGTTTTAGTTCTGGTTTAGTCCTGGTTTAGTCCTGGTTTAGACCTGGTTTTAGTTCTGGTTTAGTCCTGGTTTTAGTTCTGGTTTAGTCCTGGTTTAGTCCTGGTTTTAGTCCTGGTTTAGTCCTGGTTTAGGTTCTGGCAATGAGTGGAATTACCGAAAAAAAAGAAAGATAAAAAAAGGGGGGATTTAGCCCAAACTGTGAAAATTGGAAAACAGGAAAATCCCTCTGTTTAATCCATTTATTTCAACAAAGTAACTGTAATCCAATTACCACTCACTGAAACAGTAACTGTAACTGAATACAGGTACTTATCATTTGTACTCTGATTACTCTGGTACATGTAATCTGTTACTCCCGACACTGCAGATGGACTTTGGTGCTCGGTCATGGAGACACTTGTACAAACAGAGCTGTTTTAAAGTCTCTGAGCCACAGGAGCCAGTGCAGAGACCTGAGACCAGGACACATGTGCTCGTACTTCCTAGTTCGAGTCAGGACCCGAGCTGCAGCGTTCTGGATGTTCTGGATGTTGTGGATGTTCTGGATGTTCTGGATGTTCTGGATGTTCTGGATGTTCTGGATGTTCTGGATGTTGTGGATGTTCTGGATGTTCTGGATGTTCTGGATGTTGTGGATGTTGTGGATGTTCTAAATGTTCTGGATGTTGTGGATGTTGTGGATGTTCTGGATGTTCTGGTTGTTCTGGATGTTCTGGATGTTCTGGATGTTCTGGATATTCTGGATATTC